TATTTTACGCGTCCATGAAGTCCAGAAAGGCCTCACATCTGAACCTGGTTTGGAAAGAACCACTTTTTGAGAAAACCAATGAAGAGAAATTTCAAACGCTGAACATGCCCACAAAGGTGTAAACAACAGTAATCAAGAGCAAAATATTATTGAAGGGTCTGGGCAGGCTATCCAAGGGCAACGAGAAGTGAACCCTTCACACAGGAGGCACAAGGAAAGCCCGTGCGAACTCCTCGGTGTCCTCCAGCCAGCTACCACTCCCACGTGTCCTGACGTAGTGGAGACTTTAGCCTTAGCTGTAAATTTCGTAACATGTTGCAAAAAAATCCTGAAAACACCTTCTGAAGTATCTAAGCTGTGCTTGAAGGCTGTCAGCCTGTTTGGCTCCTCCAGGCACTGAGCCTAAAGCCTTTATCAACAGCAGGAGCAATGTCAGTGTCAAACTCTCTACCTAATACTCATGAACATCAGTGCCAGGCAGGAGTAACCAACTGTAAGAGCAGGAACCATCGTGTCCAAAGGATCTTTGGCCTTTCTACTGAAACTCCTAACAGGCCTGGCAATTAGTGCCATTTCCAGGAGAAAAAATTTAGGAACTGACTTCAGAGCGGCAAGTCATTTCATCTGAGGCACGGGGGAGCCATTGGACCGTAAGAGTCGTTTTGTCACGGACATCCTTGAAACCACTGCTGAGACAACTACAAAGTTCTACAATAAAATATCAGTCCTTTGAGGCCTCCTTTTCCCTCTTAGTTTTAGTTAACAGTGATTAATGACATTGGTAATGGTGTGATGAGAGACACCTTCAATTTCCCACAAAGGGGAGAAGGACCTAACGCAAGATCTTGCTAAATGTTACCTGCCTCAATATTTCAACCTATAAAGTCTTGTCACATCAGATCAATTCTGAGGACGCCTTCTGAAATTCCAGCTTTTCAGTAAAGTGTACCAGCGGGCCAGCTGTGTCTGTCAATGATCAAACACGTACTTTGCAAGTTATCTTCCAGAAGCCTCTTAACACAGATATCTGCTATCAATTAAAAGAAAGCACCAGAAATTCAAGAGCAATTTATATTTCTAGATGTCTAGAAACACGTTCTGCTTCTACTGAAGTTTAAATACAGCCAAGTTTACATAAGAATTACTAATTGGTTGTAAAGGTCATGCCTTTTGAATATATGCATATTGGGGGTCTGAAACCCATTAGACTGTGGTATTATACTTAGGATCAGTGCTGAATTTGGATTAAACGGTGTTATATTGATTTGATGAGCTGCTCAGATATGCTGCAGCTTTAATTGAATGTATTAGAAGATGTTAATTCTAACAGATACACCCTTAAAAGTAGTAGGTTAGTGATCTAAAATTGCTTTTTAGTACAGGCCTTTTCTGGTTTTCAAGAAAGAGGAAGAGGTATTTTGGACTCCTTAATCGGAGACTGTATGTTAATAAGTATCTAAGGAGAGGTTCTTTCTTCTCCTTTTCCATATGGATGAATGCCCTTTGAAAGCCAAAAGGGAATTGATGTAATCTATTGATTGCCATTTAAATGCCTTTATAAGCTAATTAGTGCAAAATGTAAAATGTTTCTGAGCAGAAACAAGCAACAGCCATGAAAATACAGGAAGGCTCATTTGGTTCTTACGATATACTGGGGGGATAGAAGCCCTGATGCAAAGAGTGGCCAACAAGTGACGAGTGGGACTAGTGCCTGCTGTGAAACTGTTATGAAAAGTAGGCTCTCTTGTTGTAACCGTGCGAGCAATGTCACGCCGACAGCAGTCATTGTGCACGCTTGAAACAGCAATGGTGTATCTATCTTTAATCTACATAGATGGGATAGCATCTATCTGGGAGACATTGCGATGTTTAGCAAAACAGCCAACACTATAAAATAGGTCACTAGCTGGAGCCTGCCCAGGTCTGAAGTGGCTGAAAGTCATTACCATCTGTTCATCTGAAATGAGGTGCTGGTTTTGTTCCAGTTCCTACCAGATAGGCATCCACACTGTAAAAGAAACCTTCAAAAGTATTCCTAGCTGGAAATGGGGTTGGCAGAAAGGAGCCATGGACTGAGGGCTCTGAAGGAGCTCCTTCCAGCACACGCAGACGAGATGGTGGGTATCTGAAGCTCATGTGTCGTCTCTCTATGATGCATTAGGAGGCAATTTTCCTTTGCTGTTGTCAGTCTGGCACCTTTCACTGGCCAACAGCAGCCACCGAGATCAATATCTGACTCATATCTTTGTTTGAGAAACATTTTAGCTCTAGGAAGAGATATACCCATGCAAGCTTCTTTACGGCATCTTGGAAAGACTCTGTCCTGTGCCTCCTGCGTGAAGCCATGGCCCAGCTACAAAGCCAAGCTACTGTTCTTGGTGCCTCCACACATCTGCTGGCCTCCTGCTCACAGCCAGGTAACTTTTCCCATCTCTAGGGAAGATTTAGCTACCTCTCACATACCACAGCTAGCGTGTGTGTACATATGCATGGGCAGTCAGTGTAAGGAAGGACTGCATTAACTTGCTCACATAGCCATCCCCTCAGTTAGGAGCTTCCTTGCTCACTGGGTAGATGATCCTGACCCACGCAGCCAACTGTTCCTTGAATTGGAGAAATGCTGGTGGGGAACGGGTGGAGGAGGATATTCCCCTCACAGAGGGAAATGGGTGGAGGAGGATATTCCCCTCACGGAGGGAATAAGCATCACACTGTACCCAGGAGAACTCACGGCTTTTTCTGACTTGGACCACCGTCGCTCCCACCGATGCTCCGGTAGCAGTGAGAAAAGCGCTTAGAGGGAGAAAAGTATCCCAAACCAAGTGTCCTCTAAGAGTTATTTCAAGTTTCAGCCATCATTACCATCTTATTAAGTAGCTAATAAAGACTGTACAACGAAGTATTTATGTGAACATATGCATTTAATCTAAGGCAAAGCTTTTGCCCTTCTCAAATCAACTGTAGAAGACTCTAATTACAACAGTTTCATGGCTGCATTACTCTATTCAAATTAATTACTCTGCAAAAGTTAATACAACTGAAATTATGCTGTGTGCCTTGAGAATGCC